GAGGGTAAAACAGAAATTGAAAAAACCTACAAATTACCTCCTGAAAGAGATCCCCAAAGGAATATTATAGTCAAATTCAAGAGTTCCCAGGTCAAGGAGAAAATATTACTAACAGCCAGAAAGGAACAATTTAAGTATTGTGGAAACACAATCAGGATAACACAAGATTTAGCAGCTTCTACATTAAGGGACCAGAGGGCTTAGAATATGATATTCCAGAGAGCAAATGAACCAGGATTAAAACCAAGAATCACCTACCTGGCAAAAATCCTTCAAGGGAAAAATGGACATTTATTGAAGTAGAGCACTTTCAAGCATTCTTGATGAAAAGACCAGAGCTGAATAAAAAATCTGACTTTCAAATACAGGACTCAAGAGAAACATGAAAAGATAAACAGGAAGGAGAAATCAGAAGAGACATTAAAGTTGAACTGTTTACATTCTCTACATGGAAAGATAATATTTGTAACTCATGAAACCTTTGTCAGTATTAGGGTAGTTGGAGGGAATATGTATGGACAGAGGGCACAAGGTGGGTTGAATATGAAGGGATGATATCTAAAAAATAAAATTAAGGCATGAAAGAGGATTATACCGGGAGAAGGAGAAAGGGAGAGGTAGAATGGGGTAAATTATCTCACATAAAAGAGGGAAGAAAAAGCTTTTACTGTCAAGGGGAAGGGAGGGAAGGTGAGAGGGAATGAGTGAATCTTATTCTCATCAAATTTGGCTTAAGGAGGAAATAACATACAAACTCAATTGGGTATGGAAATCTATCTTACTCTACAGGTAAATATTAGGGAAAGGGATAAGATAGGGGAGGATGACAGAAGGGAGGGGGTAATCAGAAGCAAACACTTTTGAAGAGGGACAGAGTCAAAGGAGAGAATAGTATAAATGGGGGGTGGGATAGGATGAAGGGAAATAGTTAGTTTTTCACAACATAGTATTATGGAAGTGTTTTGCATGACCACACATATATAACCTGTATCAAATTACTTGCTTTCTCAATGAGGAGAGGTTGAGAAGGAAGAAGGGAGAGAATTTGGAACCAAAAGTTTTAAAAGCAAATGTTAAAAATTGTTTTTATATGCAATGGGGAAATAAGATATACAGACAATGGAGTATAGAAATCTATCCTGCCCTACAGGAAAATAGAAGGGGAAGGGGTAAGAGAAGGGAGGGTGGTGATAGAACAGAAGGCAGACCAGGGGAAGGGGTATTCAGAATGCACACTGTCTTGGGGTGGGAGCAGGCATGAGATAGGGAGAAAATTTGGAACTCAAAATTTTGTGGAAGTGAATGTTGAAAACCAAAAATAAACTAATTAATTAAAAAAATAAAGGGGCCAAAATATGAACTAACTTTATAGTTCTCTGTAAGAATGTTATGAAGTAGTAGTCAATCCCTTTCCAATTACACCCTCTGATGGACATGCAAGAACTACTAAAATATTTGCTTCACTATACTGTTAGTTACTGAAGAACAGGAATGGCTTCTAAGTATAAACAGAAAAATTAAAACTATGATTCATTTCAACCAACAAGGAGAATTCCTTTATTATTGGCCCAATTAGTTCAACTCCCTAGACTCCTAGAGTCACAAGAAGGAACAATGATCATAATAAAATAATGTGTAATTTGCATGTAGCAAGTGAAGTTTCTGGGCAATTGAAAGAGTTTTCTCAAAGGACTAAATTTTTTTACAATATAACTATTTCAAAAGGAAAAGGCTTCTAAAAATATTACAAATATCTCTGCTCTCTTACAGAGAATATCCAATACAATTGAAGATGTTCTTGTTGGCTCAGCATCATTCTGAATATTAATTGTTGATTCATTCACTCCTTTCAAATATTTGTTGGTTATCTACCATGTGCATAAATCTCATGACCTTTTTCCACCTTAGCCAGCCAGAGAAATGGTCACATACTAGATCTAACTATAACTCACAAGTGTTTCAGTTCTGTAGTTACAATATCTTTTTATTCCTTCCTAACCTATTCCCTATCTCATTCTCCAGAGAAGCTATTCCCAACTTTCTCTTCCCTCCTCAAGCCTCTTCCCACTCCCCACATGCCCACTCCTCTCCTTAACTGAGGACTCTGCCTCTATATCTTGACTGAGAAAATTAAGGCTCTTACACCCAAACTCCCTTTTCCCCTATGTCTTCATCTCAAAATCTCTTGCCATAATCTCTCACTCTCTTCTCCATTCCCCTCAACCTCTGACCAAGAAATGGCATTTCTTTTTGCCAAAGTCAACCTTTCTGCATGTGCACTTATTCCTGTACCTTCCTGTCTCATCCAACTGATCGTACACTCAATTATCACCACTCTCTCATTAGAATACATGCTTCTTGCTAGAAGCAACTTTTCCATTCTTTGTACTTGTGTCTCAATGTCTAGCACACTGTCTGGCAAAGAAATGCTTAATAAATACTTGTTAATTGAAAAGCGTAAGTGAAACAAATTCTTAAGAGTAAAGACTATATGAATATTTACTCATTGTCCCGTGGGCATTGTGGTGGTCACTAGGGATACAAAAGATGTACAAAATTAGGCCACTACTTTTTTTTAAATTTTATTAATTGATTTTGATTTATCAACAATCACTTCCATATGCTTTTGAGTTGAAAATTTTTCTCCCCCTTTCTCCCCCCCCACCCTCCCCAAAACGGTGCACAATCTGATATAGGCTTTACATTTACATACCCATTAAACATATTTTCACATTAGTGAAGTTGTAAGTAAAAGTTAAAACTAATAGGAGGAACCATCAGAAAGATGAAACAAAACTCAAAAGAAGGTAAAAATAAGTGAGAGCAATTCGACTTCCACAGTTCTTTCTTTGAATGTGGACAGCATTTTCCATCCCGAAAGGGCAGCTAGGTGGCGCAGTGAATAGAGCACTGGCCCTGAAGTCAGGAGGACCTGAGTTCAAATCCGGCCTCAGACCAAACATTTGACATTTACTAGCTGTGTGACCCTGGGCAAGTCACTTAACCCCACTTGCCTAAAAAAAAAAAAAAAAAGGGAAAAAAAACAAACATTTTCCATCCCAAGGCCTCTGGAGATGTCTTAGATTCTCATAATGCTGAGAAGGGTTCAATTTAACAATCTTAGTCATTGCATAACATGGCTGTTATTGTGTACAAAGTCTTCTTGGTTCTGCTCCCTTCACTCAGCATCAGATCATATAAGTCTTTCCAGGCTTTTCTGAAGTCAGCCTGTTCATCATTTCTTATAGCACAATAGTATTCCATTACATTCATATGCCACAACTTGCTCAGCCATTCCCCAACTGATGGGCATTCTCTCAATTTCCAATTCTTCGCCACCACAAAAAGAGCTGCTATGAATATTTTTGTACATTGGGTCCTTTTCCCATTTGTTTGATCTCTTTGGGATATAGCCCTAGAAGTGCTATTGCTGGATCAAAGGGTATGCACATTTTTGTAGCCCTTTGGGCATAGTTCCAAATTGTTCTCCAAAATGATTGGATCATTTTACAACTCCACCAACAATGTATTAGTGTTCCAATTTTCCCACATCCTCTCCAACATTTATCATTTTCCTGTTTTGTCATGTTGGCCAATCTGATAGGTGTGATGTGGTACCTCAGAGGTGTGAAGTCAGGGGATGATTTCACTAATACCTTTTTTTAAGCTTTAGTTTACATGGCACTAAACTTCTATTTCCTTCATCATAATAAAAAGCTGGAATTTTCCAATTTGCTCTCTCTGAATTAGTTTTTTTACTTCCCCCTGTATTTTAAGCAAATTTTTGGGACACATCTTTCCCCATAATTAGCTGTCCTTTCATTTTAAGCATTAAGGGGCATTGTAGATTAACTAAAGGGAGAAAATATAGTATGTCTTTTAAAAGTCACTCAAAAGACAACTCATCACAGGTTGACTTTAATTCACTCTAATGTTACTTCAGTCAGGTATTTTCAGTAAGGAGAAAATTACTTCTAGAATCATAAAGAGAATACTGCCTAATGAAGAGATGAAGGGAAAAAAGGTTATTAATAGAGATATGAATAGATTTGGGAATAGTCTCTTTTAAAATAAATAGGACAGGCTAGGAGTCTACAATCATCCTGAATTCAAATTACACATGTTATAGCACAAAAATTATTTTCTTCATAATAAATCTTTGAGGTAGTTAGTACAAATATGATCACCTGTATGTCATACATGAAAGAATCAAAGCTAAAAGGAAGCTCAGAGGCTATCTGATTCTGCTCCCTCATTTTTCAAAAGAGAAAAATGAAGCACAGGAAATCAAAGTGATTTGGCCAGAGAGAGATAGCTAATAACTATGTGATTTAGGATTCAAACACAGATCTTCCTAATTCCAAGTCTAGAACTATTTCTATTAAATCCATAAAACTAAAGGCAGGGAGTAACTAAGACAGAAAAACTAAGGGGCTTGTTCTAGCTACAACAGGTCAGAGTTAGAACTTAAACCCAGGTCTACTAACTCGAAATCCAGTACTTTTTCTACTGTCTCTCAAAGACAGCAAATAGCAAAGTATAGACCTAACAACATCATCCAAGACTGTGAAAGCTATGCATTTTACACATTGCTTCCAGTGAGGAAAGAGTTAAGGAATAATCACAATACCTATGTGTAGTCATTTCTAAGGAGAACTTTGGTCATAAACTTCCTAGGGCAATTCAGCTCCTAGACTATAGTGACAGAGACAGATCACCTCATACTTGGCAGAAGCCTCTACCGTACGTCCCCACAATGCTGGAAGCAACATTCTTAAGAAATAGGTGATGATGAAGTGCTGTGAAGAGCCTTTAGTGAAGGTCCACATTCCTAAATGGGTACAAGCGTACCATTTGACAGTATCATAGCTGTACTTCCTCTTAATTCAGATCAACGCAGAAATTCTTCATCCAAAGTCCCTATATAATTTATAACAATATATACAATTTTTAAAAGACTGGCTTTAAAAAAATCAACTGTCAAACACTGGGTGTCTTACCATGCTCCAACATCTCCTCTGCTGTCAGTAGTGTAATCATTCATGCAATCAAGAAATGTGTCATAGATCTGGTAAACATTTTCTTTGCATATAAAATCATCTTCGGATGCTTCAGCCTTCACTCCCACAGTCTGACAAATCCTGAAAAAAAAGTACACATGCTTAAATCATGTCTTCTCACCAAAGCTTCTATCTTCCATACTGTCTGTCATTGACAGTGTGGCATATTTTTCTAACACAGAATACTAAAAATTTATCAATATACCCTTGAGTTAGTTATATGGGGATTGAGACCATTCTGTGCACTACAAAGGCAAACTACTTTAAGTGGAAAGAATGCTGAACTTGAATCAGAAGGAGTTCTACTGTGACTATGAGCAAGTCATTTAAAATCTTAGCATCTCAGTGTCCTCCTCACGTAAAACAGGGATAGTAATGTCTGCAATCTCTACTTGTTTGGGTTTTTGGGAGAATTAAATGAAATAGCATGTGAAAACTGCTTTGTAAACCTTAAACCACTATATCATATTAACTCTCATTTTTCTTTAAAAAAAAAAAAAGCAAAACCCTTCTATGAAGTCACACTATGTATAATGTCACTATAGCTTAAGAGCCATTAGATGATAAATGGCAACATAGAGGGCATAAAAGGGCTTCTATACTTTTTTATGAATAACAGTTGCATGCAGGTGGGCAAGGGATGTCTGGATCTGACAGGATTCTTTTATTAATATGTAATTCATACTATATTCCTCAATATTCAATTTATTTATACAGATGAAACCAATTTAAAGTGAACATGAAGGGCAGCCTTGAATGGAAAAAACATATCACAGAAGGGCAATGTGCAACCTAAAGGCTTCACATAGAATGGAGGGGTAGTTCTGCTTACTTTGCCTCAGTGAAAATGGAAACGTGATGGAGGTAGAGATAAGCTAGATGCATCAGCCCTGATCATTTTTCTTTTTTTAAATTTTTTAATTTTTATCTTTTAAAGTACCAGTTGATACCATTTTCTAGAGAAACAATGTGGTTCAGTGGAATCAGCACTGGGTTTTGGTGTGAAGAGCTGAGCTCTGCCTGCTTCCTGTGTGTGACCAAGTCACCTAATCTTTCTGAGCCTCTATTTTCTTATGTGAAAAGAGAGTATCATATAGCAACATTTAATTAGCACCTAACATTGTTCCAGGCACTGTGATAGCACTGGGGATACAAAAGCCAGATAGTCCTGCTCTCAAGAAGTTAACATTATCCTGGGTTTCACATTTACAGGTAAGTAAACTCAAGGTCTGTGCTTTAAGAATATTAATTTGTAGGGGCGGCTAAATGGTGCAGTGGATAGAACACCAGCCCTGGAGTCAGGAGGACCTGAGTTCAACACCCAGCCTCAGACCAAACACTTGACACTTACTAGCTATGTGACCCTGGGCGAGTCACTTAACCCCAATTGCCTAAAAAAAGAATATTAATTTGTCAAGAGTGTAGACTCTAACCTGGAAAAGGGAGAACATAGATATAGAACGACCAAGTAATAAACTACTGAAGAGGCACAGGCAAGAAGTGAATAGGGCCTGAACTAGAATAGTGGCTATGTGGCTGGAGAGAAGGGAACTGATGAGAGGAGACAGAAGCTTATATAAGACTGCTAACTGTTTGGAGAGGAGACAGGATGAGCAAGTAAAAATGAAGAGTCAAGAATGACTTATAGGTTGCAAACCTGGGTGACTGGGAGAATTGTGGTACCCTTAATGGAAATACGGAAATTAGAAGAAGCAGTGGTTTGTTTTGGACAGATTAAGTTTGGAACTTAATGGAACATGTAGTTGGAGATGTTCAGAAGATAGAATAGTCTATACATGTACTACCTATCTCAGAGGCCTGCTGTGAAGTGCTTCTGTAAACCATAAGGTGCTACATAAATAAGAACTAGAATTATTTTCTCCCTGGGCTTCCAAACCACAAGTCACTACATAGTGAACATAACTTCATGAGAACACAGAGAAAAGAACAGACATACCAATATTCTGAAACCACAGAAATTAACTCAACAATTCATCATGCATTTAGCTCTAATCAAACCTTTACTAATCTTGCTATTAACAAAAATTAAACATAAAGCATGGACATTTTATTTTCTCAATGCATAAATTCATATTCAAATAGCTGTTTTACTTGTCACAGTTCAGACTTAAAGGAAAATTCATAATGTCATAAGACCTACTTGGCAATTGCTTTCAAGGCATCTCTTCTTGCTTCAGCAAAGCTCACGTCCTTAGGAGAAATGCGAGTAACAGCCTTTAAGCCATCTAACACCTGAAAGACAACATGAAAATTATCAGGAGAGTTATAAACTATAAAAAGAAAATCTCATTTTGAAAGCTTTATTAGTAGTATAAGGCAATACAATGTAACAGAGTTAGTATTAGATTTGGTTTCAGGAGACCTGGGTTCAAGATTTAGTTCTACCACATATATGTGACCTTGAGCAAACACTAAACCTCTGTATGCCTTAATTTCCTCATCTATACAATGGGGATAATATTGATAATAATCTACCTATTATTCTAAGGTTAAACAAAAGATTAAATGAGATGTGTTGGTGAGTATCTGGCTGCCTAAAAGTAACACCCTCCACTCCCCAACTCCCACCTCCAATTCTCTAACGCCCACTCACCTCAATCTTCACCTTAATAGTTAAACAGTTCACCTCTACTGTATCTTCTTTTCTGGAATCCTTTGTTCCCAAATAGTATCAATACTCATGCCTTGCCAACCATAACCCTGGATCACTTCCTCTATCTGTATCCTCTTTCTCTACTGATGAATAGAGCTAGAGAAAAATCACAAACCAGAGTCAACTAAGCCCTTATTGTAGCACAGCAATCCTTTTATAATCCTAACTGATTTTTCTATCCCATTTCCCAGAGAGGATATGTCAAAACTTATACTCTCTCCTCAAAATTCATTTACCATTCTTTCCCCTATCTCTACAAAATAAGAGGTCAGTGGTGGCAAGCTCCCTCTTCTCCACATCTCAAAACCTCTTGCTGTCATCTCTCCTCTCTTCCTATATTTCTATATTTCCTACATTTCTGATGAAGAGGTGACCCTTTGCTTTCACAAGGCCAATATCTATACTTTTACCCTCAATTCTTTCCTCTCCATCTCCACCAGGAGATAGCAATCAATTATCTGTCCCTTCTACTATCTTTTCTTTTTTAATTTATGGAATAAAACAACCATTTCCATAACTTAGTACAATAAAAAAGATGACTGCACATGCAACTACAAATCTGTTATATACTTATTCCTTTCAAACACACAACAAAATTATCATGTAAATTTCTTTTTTTTCCTTCCCCTGTTCCCCCCTTCCACCTTAGAGATGGCTATCATTAGACACAAAAGATACATATATGTTTGTGTAAATTATTCTATACATACATCTATTTATCAGTTCTTTCTCTGGAGGTAGATAGCATCTTTCTTCATATGTCCCTTATATTTAATTTGGGTATTTATAATTGACAGAATAACTATTTGCTTGAAGTTGTCCTTTTTTTTTTTTTGGCAATTGGGGTCACACAGCTACTAAGTGTCAAGTGTTTGGTCTGAGGCCACATTTGAACTCAGGTCCTCCTGACTATGGGGCCAGTGCTCTATCCGTTGCACCATCTAGCTGCCCCTTTTGAAGTCATTCTTAAAAGAATATTGCTGCTACTCTTCTCTTGGTTCTACTCATTTTGCTCTTCATTATTTTGTGCAAGCTTTTCCATGTTTTTTCTAACTCATCATTTTTGAGCTCATCACTTCTTATAGCACAATAGCATTTCAAAACAATCATATACCACAACTTGTTCAGCCAATTGATAGGCATCCCTTCAGTTTCTAGTTCTTTGCTTCCACAAAGAGATCTGCTATAAACATTTTAGAACATCCAGGTTCTTTTCCTTTTTCCATAATCATCTTTGAAAACAGATTAAGTAGTGGTATTACTGGGTCAAAAGGTACAGGTAGTTTAATTACTCTTTCGGCATAATTCCAGATTGCTCTCCAAAATGGGTTGGATCCGTTCATAATTCTGCCAACAATGTATTAGTGCCCCAATTTTTCCATATTCGCCCCCAAATTTGTCACTTTCCCCTTCCATCATTTTAGTCAATTTAGTCGGTGTACAATGATAGCTCAAGGTTGTTTTCATTTGCTCCAGCTGTCTTTAAACATGTCCAAATCTTCCTTTTCCAGAAATAAACCCTCACTAACCCTATTAGCCCCTCCAAGTCTTCATTCTTTATCTCCCCTTCCTTTCATAAACTCCTAAAAAACTTTCTACACTAGGCATGGGGGCACACAAGCCTGTAATCCCTGCTACTGAGGAAGTTGATCCCAGTGGCTATCTTAAACCGAATAGTGTCAGTAGGTTAATCTACTTACATAAACTGTTAAATTTAAGCAATTAAAAATTAAATTATTTAAATTGTCTTAATGGGGGAGGAGAAGAAGAAGAAGACGATGATGACAATGAAGACAAGGAGAATCTGTCTACATTCATTGCTTCATCCTCTACTCTCACTCATTTCTTGACCATTTGCAATCTGGTTTCTTGAACTATCATTCAATTGAAACTGCTGTATCCAAAGTTAGCAATTAATTCAAGAGTAAAATTTCATGGCCTTATATCAATCTTCATTCTTCTCAACCTGTCCAAAGCATCTGATACTGCTATTCACCTTTTCCTTTTGGTTTTTTGTTTCTATTCTTGTTTCTTTGGCAGAACTGGTCTCTCTTGCTTCTCCTCCCGCCTGTCTCATTGTTTCTCAGTTTTCTTTGCTAGTTCATCATCTATATCATTCCTCCTAAATATGGTCTCTGTCTAGAGATCTCATCTATTTTTCTTCAATCTCTTATTCAGTCACCTCATCAGCTCCCATGTGTTTAATAATCATCTTTATATAAATGATTCCCAAATCTTTATATCTAGCCCTATGTTATCTCCTGAACTGTAGTCACACATTATCAACTACTTATTGGATATTTCACACTATGTTCCATAGGCACCTCAAACTCAACCTGTCCAAATCAGAGAGTTCCTCTTATCCAACTTCATCATTTTACAGTTGAGAAAACTAAGGATAAAAGAAGTGAAGTGACTTATGCAAGGTTACATAGTTAGTAACTGTCAAAGCTGGGATCCAAATCATTCCACCAGTTTCCTCAAAGCAAAATGATTTATCTGAGAAGTCTTATTTCCACTTAGCACACTGAATTCCATCCTAATAACCAAATAAAGTTCAGTTAGAATGAACTTGCACACAAGTTCTTTATTTTACATGCATATGACAACAGAGTATTAAAAAAAACCCCAATCTACTTGCAGTTAGTTCTCATATTCTTTCTCTTTCTCTCTCAGATATACCCACAAGAACTTGAATGAAAGTCACCACAGAAAACTGAAAATACTGCTTGGATTTTAAAAAAATGTTATAATCCAATTCTCTCAATCTTTAATATGCATGTCCTGTTCAGGACAAGCTGCTTCAAACTTACATATTCTCATTAGTATCAAAATCAAGGCTCACCAGCTTAAGTCTGCCTTTCAGAAAAAAAGCTGGAAGGGAACCCAAGGCCAGTGAAAATCCACAGCGAATCATTTCTTCTGTGTTGTGAAGTTCAGAAATATAATTCTTCATCAATTCATCTGGAAAAAAGGAAATGGAGAATACATAACTGCCACTAGAAATCTACATTCATTAAAAATATGATCAGTATTGCAACAAGATTATGAAAGTAGCTAGAATTCCTCCCTAAAAAGAGTATTTATAAAGAATTTTAAGGTTTGTAAAACACTTTATATATGTAATATCAGTTGATCCTCATAACAGTCCTGTTAGGTAGGTGCTATTAATTATCCCCACTTCACACATTAGGAAACTTTCATGAGACTGACAGAGGTTAACAGACTTGCCCACTGTCATGGAACTAGGAAATGTCGGAAGTAAGATTGAAACTCAAGATTTCCTTATGATAAGGCCAATCTTCATCATCATCAAGCATTCATTAAGGGCCTACTATTATATTCCAGGCACAGGGCTAAGAGGTGGGAATCAGAGAAAGGAAAACAAAACAACAACAAAAACCAAGTCCCTGGTACTACATCACACCCATCAGATTGGCCAACATGACAAAACAGGAAAATGATAAATGTTGAAGATGTGAGAAAACTGGAACACTAATGTGCAGCTGGGAAATGATCCAACCATTTTAGAAAGCAATTTGGAACTATGCCCAAAGGGCTATAAAAATGTACATCCCCTTTGACCAGCAATACCACTTCTAGGGCTATATCCCAAAGAGATCATAAAAATGGGAAAAGGACCCACACACAAAAAAATACTTATAGCAGTTCTTTTTGCGGTGGCAAAGAATTGGAAATTGAGAGGAAGCCCATCAATTGGGGAATGGTTGAACAAGTTGTAGTATATGAATACAATGGACTGCTATTGTGCTATAAGAAATGACGAGCAGGTAGACTTCAGGAAAAACCTGGAAAGACTTGTACGGTCTGATGCTGAGTGAAGTGAGTAGAACCAGGAGAAAGTTGTACACAGTAACAGCCACGCTGTGTGATGACTAATATTGACAGACTTAACCCTTCTCAGCAACGCAATGATCTAAGACATCTTCAAAGGCCTCATGATAGAAAATGTTATCCACGTCCAAAGAAAGAACTATGGAGTTTGCTAGATCATAAATTACATGGTAGGGAATTAAGCGTTAAGAAGACAGGATAGACAAGAATGAGCCAGGTTCGAGAAGGCTTTAAAAAGCACAGAATTTTACATTTGATCCCAGAGGTAACAGGGAGCCATTGAAGTGAGAGAGTGAGAGAGAGAGAGAGAGAGAGTGTGTGTGTGTGTGTGTATACCAGGGTTGTGGGGAATAATATGAACACATTATCACTTTAAGGAGATCACCTTGATAGCTAAGAGGAGGATAAATTGTAGTAGGGGGAGATGAGAGAATGAGAACAGACAAAAGACTATTGTCAAAGCATGAGGTCACTGATGACTGCCTATTTCAGGGCAGTGTCAGGCAGTGTTAGTGGAGAGAAAGGGACATATATGAGATATTGTAAAAGCAGAAACAGCAAGACTTGAGCAACAGAATGGATAAGTGGGATAAGTACAAGTGAGGATATGAGGATGACACCAAAGCTGTGAGCCTGGATGATGGATGGGGCCCTCAAAAATAATTGGAAAGTTTGGAAAAGGGGAAAGTTTTGGTGAAAAGATAAAAAGTTATGTTTTGGATATATGAAGTTTGATATCTCCGGCACATACAATTTGAGATGTCTGAAAAGTGAATGTAGAAGCAAGACTAGAACTCAAGAGAGAGGTTAGGACTGGATAAATACATAACAATAACATAAAAATAATAAATAATAATACATAGAATTTATATAGTGGTTTAAGGTTTGCAAAATGCTTTATAAATATTGTATTTTATCCTCAAATGGAGATAACAATACTAAGAGGTAAGTACTATTATTATCTCCATTTTAAAGATGAGAAAACTGTGGGGATTAAGTGGGAATTAAGTGACTTGCCCAGGATCAAATATTTAGTAACTATACAAGGCTGAAGTCCAGTGCTCTTTTCTTTTCTTTTCTTTTCTTTTTTTTGCTTTTAGGCAATTGGGGTTAAGTGACTTGCTCAGAGTCACACAGCTAGCAAATGTCAAGTGTTTGGTCAGAGGCTGGATTTGAACTCAGGTCCTCCTGACTTCAGGGCCGGTGCTCTATCCACTGCGCCACCTAGCCGCCCCTACCCAGTGCTCTTTTCACCACACTATCTAGCTTTCTAGATCTGAAAAACACCTAACCATACATAAGTGAATCCACAGAAGTTGATACGGTCACCAAACAAGACAGTATCAAGGGAGAAGGGAAGACAGCCTACTATCTAGCTGCCACAACACATACAGTGAACATTTTAATCAAGTTTGAACTAGATTAGGAAGGAAATGGATAGGCTATCTGGGATATTTTTATTAATTCTTTAGATTCTTTCACTTTTGTCTTTATATCCTCAACATACAGTACACTTCCTGGCTCATACTAGATACTTAATGTTTACTGAGGGGTAGATTCTAAGACAAATATTTTCATAAGTGACATAAGTAGGCTGGACATATGCACAGTTTTCAATTTTGTCAAGTTATAAATATTTTCTGTAGAAATTCCAACTTTTACAGAAAAAAAGATTAAATTATGAATGCTGGTCTCATTCCACATTTTCCTTTCATCCTTATTTTCAAAGAATCTCAAACATTTTTAGGATGTAATGGATTAAGATGAAGAAGATGGCAGATAAAGTGTCAAAGAATCTTTCTAGTTACCCAGAGAGATCAAATAGGATCATTAACCATTAAAACATTACAATGGATGTCAACAAAAGATTCTAACTCCACTGTGATATTCAATACTAGAGATATAAAAAATGTAAAAGTATCTGAAAATCAAATCATAGTGATGCATAAATGATGGCAATAATGGTTGGAGCAATCAGTCAAAGACGACACCGGGCATATTTATTGAAAAAGAGTTAAAGTCAAGTGATAAGGGATTTTGAAGTTTGGAATTCATAACATATAAAGCAAATGAGAGGAAACTGGTAAAGAAAGGTAAAAAAAGAGGAAGAAAAGCAATGGGGTGGTGAGAGAGAGAGAGAGAGAGAGAGAGACAGACAGACAGACAGACACTGGGGGGGGGACGCAAAAACAGAAGCAATGTGACACACAGATTTCCAAAAAGAAAAATGGTTGATTGCATTAAGAGGTGATACGCTTGATATCATCTAAACAAAGACTGAATAAATATTAATGTTGAAAAAAGGCTTTATAAGGTTCAGATTCAGATCTGACTTGATGCCTTGCTCTGACACTGGAAGAAAAGACCCTTCTTGATGTTACATAAATGTATTCAAGGACTCCACTTTAGGTTTGGCAAATTATATTTGTTATTACTATAGCTTTATGAATATACTATTATCTCTACAATGCATTAAAAGGGAAAAAAAGCATTGTAAGAAGAGCTATAAGAAGAGCATTATAAGTATTATAGAAGAGCTGGGTTCAACTCCTCTAGAGAAGAGCTGTGGAAACACAGAAAAGTTTTGGGGCCTAACTTTCTTCCTCTTGAAATAAGGATAGCAATACTTGTTTGAGGTTGTGCCTCATTTAAACTTCAGTAAAGTTGAAGTTAAGACAGTGAAATGCAAAAGCCTTTCGTAAAGAAAGCATTTCAAATCTATGAAGGATACTTGAAACTTGGAAGAGTTCAAATGCTTGAGAAAAAGATAGAAAAAACAAGTCACTAGTTTCTAGGTACTCTTCCAATAAAACTGCTAAAGTTAAATGGAAAATGTAACTGTATAATTACCATAACTAAGGGTAGGAGACTTCATAAAGGGAACCTTGTTCTGAACTATAGACCTACCCAACCTTCTGCCAACAGGTGGGTAATTTAGGAACCAAGGGCCTGAGAGTGTCAAAGAGGAGTGGCTCCCGCCAAAAGAAGGTTAAGGGTCTCTGCCTTTGATGAAAGAGCACAGTAATAATTTACTGAAAAAAGATAGTTAACACCTAACCTAGACAACAGTGGCAGATGACAGACGACCCACAAAGCATAGATGGCCTAGTGCCAAGTGACCTTCAAAGTCCAGCAAGTATTATCAGCTTAAATAAATGATCTGGCTTAATGTGACAGGAACAAGACCCAATGGCTGAAACACCTGCTCAATTCAGGGAAGCAGTGGATTGGCCAACTCAAGCAAAATATAGTGCCATACCATAATCAAAAGTACCTGATCTTCCTATGCAGGAAAAATACATATTCAATGCAGATGGTATTTATATTAATTCATTTTCTATAATGTCTTCAAATATAATATAGTTTCCTTATTTATCTTTTTCAAACTAGTATGTAAGTAGAAGAAGAGAAAATATATGCCAGAGTGAAAGTTCCTAACTGCCAAATTTCTCCCCAAAACTTCAACAAAACAACCACAGCAGGAAAAATGAATTCTGGGTATAAAAGCCAACAAAAAGTCAGAGTGACTCATTGTTCCAGCCTAGGAGAGCTTATATAAACAGAAAGAGAGGTCTGCAGACACTAGGATGTGGGCTGGCATAAGTCACACCTGCTGTGGCATCAGAGGCAGCAGCTGTAGCAGCAGCAGTAGCAACAGGAACATTGGGCACAAACAACACACAGGCACAATAAAGGGAGAGAACACCTGGTCAGAAAGAGATTCCAGGGAACCCCTATGCTAGCACTAGGCCCAGTATCTGGTGCCATTTGGCAGCTCTGTAGCCTATTATCCAGTTCCAGGTTACAATTCCAAGTCAGAGAGGATCAGTCACAGTCATGAGGGATCAGGAAACCTAACTGTGTAAGAACCTGACCACAGACCAGGAGGGCAATGAACAGAACTCTCCACAGATCATACCACCCTGGAACCATGAAAAACCCAGAATCTCCCAGATTGAGCCATAGAAGCTCAGGCCTGGCATCCTCCACAGAGGTAAGCAGAGCCAAACTCTAACATAAAGTTCGAAGTCAAGAAATAGGCTAGAAAAATGAGCAAAAAAGAACAAAAAAGAACAACTATGAAAAGCTTCTACTGTGACAGGGAGGCT